TCGGCATTTGAATTTGGCAGCGATCTAACGACATTTAGAAGAGACTTTAAATTGAAATATTTACGTGTACGTAGGAAAATGTGTTTCCACATGTCATTGAAAGTTAATGTTGAGAAATATTCATTTTCTGCTTCTGTTAAACTATAATGTAAAGCAAACCATTCTTTTCTTAAACTATTGTCGTCAAACCCACCGAAGGTTCGGGCGACGAAAGAAACGTCATTAAAAGAAGCTTTTCTGTTACTATATTATTTAAAGCCATGTTAAATTCAAAAACTTATAATTTTGATAAAAATATGTCGTTTATTGGTAATTTTGTACAAATATCTTTGGCAACAATAACGTAAAATTGCAAACAATTTTCTCTAACATTTGCAACTACGTCTGCGTGTCTTAGTTCATTTAAGGCTTTAATATATTTTTCGCACTCACTTTCTAAGTTTACTTTGCTTACAGATTTATGATTTGCTTTATTAAAAAAATTAAAAGTATTATTTATATTAGATAAAAGCTCTGGATTTAAAAAATGTTTACATATAATATTTAACAATTTAAGTGATTTTGTTGTAATTTTTGTATGCTTGTTTCCAGAGCTTGAAAAAATGCATTAAAAGAATTAAAGAAATGTAAACTGTTTCAAAAATAAATATGCTTAATAAATATGCTTAATAAATATGCTTTTACATCAGGTTTGTGCATCACAGATAATAAATTTTCTCCAGGCTGTGTTTTATCACTTACTACTATTTCTGTTAAAAAATTATTAATTGTATCCTAAGAATTTAAAATTCTTTTAATACATAAATGTCGAGAAAACCATCGTGTGTCGCACAACTTTAGGATTTTGTGATTTGTTTCTTCAAAACATTAACTAAATTCTTGAAAAATAGCAGATCGCTTTGGACTACTATTAATAAAACTTGCTACTTTCTTTACAAACTCCTCGCAATAGTGTGGAATCTTAGTACATGCAGCATTAGCAATTAGCGCAGAGGCATAACAAGGACATGGAAATGTCAATAAATTTATGCAAAATTTTTCAAGCTTTGTCTTAAACGACGAATATTTGCCCGTTAACAGACGCGTTGTCGCAGGACAAGGCAACAATATTTGAAAATGGAATTTTAAGTTTTCTCATTTCACATTTAAACGCATCAAATAATTTATCCGCGCTGCAATCTTTTGCATCAATATCAATTAATTTGACTAATTGCGAGGAAGTATCTAATGTTTTGGAATTAACATACCGAACTAGAAACGTCATCCATTTGTGATTAGAAATGTCTGACGTTTCATCAATAAAAATAGTAAAGTTTGTATTTTGAATAATGTTGACACGATCCGTTTCAATCGGACATAACACGTTCAAAATAAGCTTTTGACATTTAATTCGACTTATTGTCATGCTTTGTAATACATTGACGTCTTTCCCTATTTGTTGAAAGAATTTTAAAATTTTCGGCGCAGTTCGAAGCGAAATATTGTGTTCGGCACTAAAAGCAGCGCATTTAATTTCCGCTGCTTTCTTTTGCTCTTCGAATGATAAAGTTTTGTCTGCCATAGTTACGTCTTCAGCTGTTTGATTCTTTTCAACATTCTTTTCTTTAGTTACGTGTGCTGCGGTTTCTGCGTGCTCATAAATACTTGATAATCTTGCTGACATAGATTTGTCACAAAATGAGCAAAAAATTAATTTATTGTTATGCAATACTTTGCATAACCAAGGTTGAAATTGCTTCATTTCCAACCATTGTTTTTGAAATTTATATGTATCCGAAGTATTTGGTTTAACATTCACATTATTATTATTGAAGGAAACACATGTGTTTTCTTTAATCTTATTTTTATGACACGAAGAATCCGCATGTCTTGAAATGCGCGTGTTACAAGAAAAATTGTTGTTGCATATAGTGCAATAAAAAAAACTATCATTTGACGGTACTTTCCGTATCCAAGATTTATATCGGTCATCTGTAAGCCAAGCTTCTAAACAACTTCTCTTTGATTTTTTTTTGTGAATCGCACATTTTATTATACGACAAAAGGACAAGAACCAAAGAATTAAATTAGTAGACAAGAAAAAGAAAAAATGTAAGATAAGTTTACTGACTTACTTTAAAATAAGTTTTCTGACTGACGTTACAACTTAATCAAGCAAGTTTAACGTACAGAATATACGTTGACTTGCAAGAAAATCACGTAGTAATTTCAATCAATCTATCAGTAGTACAAATCCAATCAATCAGTAATACAAGTTTAATCACAGATTGATATTACAGATACTAAATATTACATATTTACTATAAATGATCTACAAAATAGACAACAATAAGCCACATCTCTTTACTGCAAAATACACCACAATATGATATACGCAATAATCGCGGAAAACGACTGCAGCGCACAGCGTGGCAGCGACACGTATGCGATTTTTAATTGTTTCGCGTAAGTCGCGCCCGCGTTGCGCTTGTCATCTTTTAGTTAAAAAGACAAAAAGCGCAGCGCTAAACAAAAGTGGAAAACAAGTTACGCCATTGAGGTCAATATGTCTCGTAAGTAATAAATAAATTTATTATTTTTCTCATCACTAAATTAAATGACAAAGTTATTCAAAAGTCAAAGCAAAAGAAATATATAAGAAAATATCTCGAATATTTTTGCTGTGTACATTGTGCGCTGCATGTGTTACTATTGTTACGCGGCGGTCACCGCGTATGTGTCGGGTAACGGTGCGCGCTCGGCGCGATTGTTCGTCGCCGGGCAACGAAGTTGTTGTGAAAAGTATCGGGGACGCAAAGCTGTCACGACGCGTTACGGACGATCCTGTGATTTTCTGTGGTAATTTGTATTGCAATAAAGTGTTGTTAAGAGTAGTCACGTCTTCTCATTCTTGGGGTCGTGTGCGCAAATCGTGGAGACCAACGACTGGGCAGTACCTCCAACGCGAGAGTAACAATATAAACGTTGTTTTCGTGAGTATTGCATATGTATTGTGGAGTAAAGAGTAGTTTTGAGTAACTTTGTCATTGGGTAGTTATATAAGGAGAGTTCTAGCTCAGGAGCTCCGGGGGGATGCGGGGTATGACGTCACAGGGGGAAGGGTGACGTCACACAAAGAGGAGGGGGTATGACGTCATAAGGGGAGAGAGTATGACGTCACAGGGGGGGGGGAATATGACGTCACAGAGGGAAGGTGACGTCACTATGACGTCACGCGGGGGCGTGGCTCTGACGTCACAGGATATGACGTCACTATGACGTCAAGCGGAGAGGGGGTATGACGTCACAGGGGGAGGGGTGACGTCACTATGACGTCACGCGGGGGCGTAGCTCTGACGTCACGCGACATTATGGCGACTTCACACGCGGTGGGCTTTGTTATGACGACTTCACACGTGGCAATATGGCGGTTCGACATAATGGCGTCACAGGATATGACGCGGCGGGCACCGGTATGGCGGCTGCAATATAGTGGCGACAATATGGGGACTTCAAGGTATGTACTATTTACTATATGCATGGTATATACTTCTTAATGCTNTACGACAATACCGCGTCTCCAAGATGTATACATCTACGTTTTTTGGTACATATGTACATTTTTTTATATAACACAAATATGAAAAAAAACATGCTTAGAACAACTATGTATTTTGTACATATGTTATTTATTCGCACATACTTATTTCACGCAGCATGTAACCTTATACGCAGTGCGCGCAAAGTTGCATAGTTGCAGTTTTTAGCGAGAACGCGCACAGTTGCGGAGTTGCAGTTTTTAGCGAGAAAGACGTAACGATTCGACACGAAATTATTCGACACCGTACGATTCGACACGAAATTATTCGACACCAAATTATTCGACACCATACGATTCAACACAGAACAAGCACTATGCATCGTGACAATTAATACTAGTAGCAACACAGGTTAGGGTTAGGTTAGGTTTTTTTTCGGGGAGGGGGTGCAGGGGGAGG